CCCCCCCCCCCCAGCCCCGCAGCCCGCTCCCCGGAGGTTGATAAGCACGGCCGCGTGCGCAGCTGTGTGCATCCAAAGGAGGCTAGTGCAGGTGTTGTCGCAGGCTTAATTCTGTCTGAACCCGAGCGAGCACACACAAGTCTCGGTCCGACGTCCATCGAAGCTTTTAGTTCAGAATTTGCATGCAGATCTCAAGGACGCATGCCAGTTACGAACACAAGTGCAAAGGAGTCCGCGTTCGATACTTGAAGGTACCGTGACATTTAAAACTTGGACGGAGCCTGGGCCCGCTCTAGGGGCAGAAAGGCCGATAAGCGCACGGATCTGCTCCCGTCTCCAGGCGGCCGTCCCCGCCCCGGTTTTGTAGGACGCATCGGTGTCTGAGTCTGGTCTGCACGGAGCACAGAGCGGAGACTGAGGTGGCTTCTCGGTGTGGGGCTCAACTTGTACAGTAAGGTGCACACGGGCGGGAGCCCCCAGCCTCGCCCTGTCCCCACGGCCCGACCTTCACTGGCGGGCTGGCTCCTTAGTGGGGGTCCCTCCAGAAAGGCCTGGGGTCCCCCTCCAGTTAGAAGCAATAGGGTGAGTGACTGCACCCACATTCCCACAGGAGGACGGTAGACGTTGTTTTTAAACAAAAGTTACGAGGGCTGCTTCGCTTTGTCAGCAGGAACCAAATTCCCCTAAGGAGGGTGCGTGAAGACTCGTTAGTTGGAGTTCTTCGAAAGGGTCCCTTGGTCCTGCTGTCACATCGCCTTGAGCTACCGGGAATTTTGTTCCTCTCCGTGGAGTGTCTTTGGGGCCCCAGGAACGTGGCGTCTTTGTGCCTTTGTCCCAGTCCCTGTGTGTTAGACAGGAAGGGGTCTTAGGGCGCCACTGATGGAACTTTGAATACATAACGCTTATTAGCTCATCAGACGATGAGACTCCAAGGAGGACTCCAAGTGGCTTTATTGTCTCTTCTCATTAAAACTTGTCATAAAAAAACAAAATTTCAAGGTTCTCAGCTGCCGAGGCAGCCCTATAATTGGGGGACAGAGGCTGCGGAAGGGAGGGAGCTGTGTGGTGGCCACAGCGCCTAGTGCAGGTAGGACACTAAGGTAGGGCACCTCTGGGTCCCC